TTTTGAGATCTGCTGCATATGACATTTAAAATGTTTTCTGCAATAAACCATGACAATGCCTAACAGCAACCTTTGAAGTCTCCAAAAGATGGATGAGATCTTAAAATGACGATTCCACATGGAGTATCATAACACCCCTAAATGGCAAACACAATCCAAAGATAGGCTTTGGACTACAAAATGCTCAGGACAATTTTGAGGTGGCTAGGTAAGATGATGCAGCCTCACAGACTACTCTAGTCAGAACTTAAGACAAGCCCTGCACCTTCCCATTACACAGAGACTAGATAACAAATGATACAGCTACCTCTCCCAGGACTTGACAATTAACCCATTTTTTTTCTTTTCAGGATTCCCTAAAGATGCCATTGCCCCAGGAAGCAGGAAGTAATTTTAAGAACATGACACCCACATTCTCAATAGGAGGGTTGGGTGGGATTTGGTTATTCATTTGGTCATGGATATTTGTTATTGTTTAGAGTAGTTGGTTACAAGTTGTTATTGGTAATAATTTTTTTTTTAAAAAAAAAAAAGCTCAACAAAGGAGATTAGACTCAGGATTCTTGAAAAAAAAGAAAGAAAACAGGGGGATATAGATATGATAGGATAAAAGGGTAGATTATTGAATCTACTTTTAAAAAGCAACTACTTGTTTCAAATATTTTACATTAATATGGATCTTTGTATACTGATACAAAGTTGAAATTATTTTTGTTAGAACATACTGTATGTACATTTCTAATCTTGTTCAAGGTATTGTACCTATACAACTCATTTAATAAGGTAATGCAAATTTCTAGTCCTTGAAAGTTATTATTACAAACTATTTAGGATAATAAAGAAATGCAGGTTAGTAATTAGTCACCTATTACAATTGACCTTGTAGTCATATTAGATATGTTATCAACGTCAAACAGAGATATATTTTAGATAGACAGGTCATCTTCAAACACTTCAGAGACCTACAGAATATGGCAAAGTTAGCCACTGGGCAAGAAAATACCCTGGCCCTGACTGCTGACAGTATGCTGTCCAAATGGGGCAAGCAGGACACAAAAGAAAAGACTGTTGAGCTTTGCCAAGACAAGATAGGACAGCCCTTCAGAAAATCCTGCTTCACAGATAAGTCTGTCAGATATGTTAGGCCTGTAGGCTGAAGATGTTGCAGAGGAAACTTGGGTAACTGTCCATGCAGCCTGCTGTTTCTGTCATTTCTTACATTTTTTGGAAGTCCTTTGTTTGTACTTTCTGCTTATTCAGGTAATATTATTTCCTTCTCAGGTCTCTGGTAGAGTTGAAGACTTTGTAGTTGTAGTTATAGTTTTCCTTGTTACCAGATTTAGTAAAGAAATTCACTAAAGAGATGTAAAGTATATAAGGCTGAGAAACACTAAAAGATAATTTTGGTGAGGCAAGTTAGAATAGAAAGTGAATTAGGTACAAACTTTTGGACTCACCAGGATAGGATAGATATGGGGTATTTTCTCTGAATTTGTCAATTTTTAATGGACTAGATATTCTTGTTGTATTTATTGCTTGTATATACTGTATATAATTATTGTACTTATTGTATATAGTTTTTCTTACATTAGTTATAACCTCCCTTTTTTATTTTAGACAAAAGGGGGAAATATGATGATATTTTGTTTGTGCTCTAACAAATAAAGCTTACCTGGAGATCAGTGTGGAGCTAGCCACTAGTTAACCATAGGGGTCAGGTAGTGGTGGCCCACACCGTTAATCCTAGCACTTGGGATCTCATGCCTTTGATCCCAGTACTAGGGAGGAGGAAATGGGAATTGATATGGTTGGGCCATGAGAAGAATATAAGGTGGGCTGAGACAGGAGCTCGGTCCCCCTTTCAGGCTGAGGAGTTGGCAAGGAAAGGGGTAGCTGTGGCTTGCTCCTTTGTCTCTCTGATCTTTCAGCATTTACCCTAATATCTGGCTCTGGGTTTTTATTATTAAGACCAATTAAGATTCGTGCTACAAAATCCTGAAATAGCAGAAGGGACAACATATCCATAGAAAATAAACAACGTGCTTATAATTCTTGAAAAAATAGGCACAAATATTGCAAAATTGAGAGTAAGTGCCTAACTCTTCAATGCAAGAATGAGATTTAATACCAACAAACACCAAGAACTTTTAGTTGAGATCAACTAACAGCCAAAACAAGGCAAGATATACTGAAAACAGGTGAACTCCAGAATGGAGTTCTAAATCGCTGTTTTAAAGAAACCAAGAGCTTCTAGAACACAAAGAAGTAATTTGAAATTTTCACACAAAAACAAAAATGGAGATGACGTTTAAAAATCAAACAGAAATCTTACAACTGAAAAATACACTAGAGAATTTTAAAGCATGCCCAAAAAAGACATTAATGTGGAAGTTAACCTGAGCACACAAAGAACAAGCCCCAAGACACACTATTCAAGAACACATTGGATGAAACAAGAAAAAGCAAGAGAAATGGAGTGAGCTGTGGTGGTCTGAGAGAAAATGGCCCCCATGAGGAGCGGCACTATTAGGAGGTATGGCCTTGTTGGAGTAGGTGTGTGGGTTTTGAGGTCTCCTATGCTCAAACTATGCCAAGTGTGGCACACAGTTCACTTCCTGCTGCCTGCAGATCCAGATGGAGAACTCTCAGCTATCTCTCCAGCACCATGTCGGCCTGCATGTGGCCATGTTTTCTGCCACACCAACAATGGACTAAACCTCAAGGGCTCAAGCACTCCTCTAGACTAATGACTTAACCACAAATGGAAAGTATAAAAGAAGGAGAATTAACATGCTGTTTGCATACATGTATACATCACACTGACATCCAAGAATATATACACTTAACAGATAATAATGAAAGAGCTCTATTTATAGCAAAATAGCTATAATTAGTAAAAAGATATTATACATTTGAAATTTGATGAGCAGCCTTCAAATCTTCTCACTGGATAAATAGATAAGTGATAAAACTCATCTGTTAAATAGTTTGATTTACCCATTCCAAAATTCATATATATATGTGTGTGTATATGTATATATATATATGTATATATATGCCAAATACTATGCTATACACTAAAAATACAGCATACCATTTTGACTTGTCAATTTAAATATCAAAAAAAGAAAGGTGGAGAGAGAAAATGAAAGATAAAAACAAAAAAATGCTAGAAATCAAATTACAAAGTAGTTATGAGACCTTAACTAATCAATAATTACTTAAAATTTAAATTAAGTAAATTTCTCAATTAAAAGCTATGGGATAAAAAATTAAAAACCCAACTCTATGTTTCTTATACTATTTCTACTGTTCAGAAATGGCAGATATCTTTCTATGTGAATTAAGTACAATGTTATGCATTTGTGGTGTAATTAGTCTAAATTATACTCATTACACGATCCTAAAATTCAAATAAAAACTTCTAGTGACCATAACAGCTTTAAAAATAGCAAAGTTAGCCGGGCGGTGGTGGCGCACGCCTTTAATCCCAGCACTCGGGAGGCAGAGCCAGGCGGATCTCTGTGAGTTCGAGGCCAGCCTGGGCTACCAAGTGAGTTCCAGGAAAAGGCGCAAAGCTACACAGAGAAACCCTGTCTCGAAAAACCAAAAAAAAAAAAAAAAATAGCAAAGTTAGACGCCGAATACTATCTTGTTTGAAGGCACGTAAGTGTTTAGCAATCACAACAACGAGGCCTTGGCACGAAGGCAGATCAGTGAAGTAGAAGACAAGTCTACATGGAGGCCTACTCAAAGCTGACAACTAATTCTAGACAGAAGAACAAAAGTAGTCAATTAAGAATCGCCTTTGTAATAAATGGTGGTGTAACAACTAAATTTTCATAATTCAGAGAAATATACATCGAAAGCATTTCTTTTTTAATTCTAAGAAATTTAACCAAAAATGGATCATATGTATAATTGTAAAATGTAAAAGCATAAAATTTCTAGCAGTTGAGATGAAACGACTTGGCGATGCTCTGTGGAAGAGCACTTGTTTTGCATGCATGAGGCACTGTGTCCACTTCCCATTACCACAAAAGAAAGTACTCAAGAATAGGTTTGCCTTTGATTCAAACTAAAGATATAAAGCCTCTAAAAGGAATAGAGGAAAACATTTTGACTCAAGGGTGAGCAATTTCTTGGAATCAATGATTTTTCTTAGGAAGTACTAATCAACAACAAATCAGACATCATCAAAATGAGGATTGTGTTCATCAAAAGGCAGAGAAGATGGGTATGGTGGCAAATGACATCACCTGGGGGGCTGAGATGACAGAATGAGGAATTTAAAGGTAGCCTTATTACAAGCTCCAGGCCAGGTACACAGTGAACCCTGTATATTATCAAGAAATTTAAAAAGAAAATAGTTGTAATGCATAAGCTTAAAAAGAAATATAAAGCACTTTTACAATTTAGTGCAAAAGTGCAAAAAAAAAAAAAAAAAAGACTGTTTACCACAGCAACTATATAAATGCCTAGTAAACACAAGAAGAAATAGCCCCTGCCTTCACTCAAGAAAGACTACAGTGAAAAGCTAATACACCCAGTAGGAAGGCTGCAATTTACAACAACAGCAACAAAAGTTGTCATATTAAAATTCATATCTTTATTTTTGGAAATCTGTCTTATAATCTTGCCCATATCAAATATAAAATACTTTAAATCTGTCATAGCTAAAATCCTGAACATCACATAGAGACTTACCCAAAAAAAAAAAAAATGGATACAACATGTAGGCAACTCACTGTTGCTTAAAATTTTCCTATATGTTTATTTCTGCTTGGAATGAATATAACAAGTACTACATTAGGTCAGCAAGATGGCTCAGTAGGCACTCACCACACAAGCCTGATGAGCAAGTTCAATCTCCAGAGCCCACGAGAAGGCAGATGGCGAGAACTAACTCCACAGAGTTGTCCTCCTCTGACCTGCACATGTGAACCCCGACACACCATGCACACATAAACACAAAATTAGAGACTCCACAAGATGTTTACCTGTCAGAAGAGACATCACTGGCAACCGGGTGCCTCACTCCGGATCCGTTTTTAATAGAATCCTGTCTTGTGAGCCCATGAGAGCGAGCTTTCTCCACTGCAGGTACAGGTAGGTCTCCTGAGGGTCCTTGGAACTGGGTCTGCTCATGGAGTTTCGCTTTCTTCTCCTGAGGTGCCTCCTCATTTCGAAGCCCTCGAAGAACCTTTTGATCGGGTTGCTGTGATGGAGTAGACCCGCTATTATAAAACCACGCTCCTGATTTGGTGAGGATTTCTTGTTGTTTTCGGCACAAATTACACACCCACATAACCTGCACACAATAACACAGAAAAAAGAAATAAATCTCCCTCAGAATGAAAGACAAACAAAAGGAGAAAAAATTCAAACCAATAAAAAAATTACATTGTTATACTTCTGCAGTTAAAATGAACTCAAGATTAAATGCTACTATAAATTAAATAATTTATCCTTTCTTTTAATTTTATAAGCATGATTATAATGAAATTACACTGACAAAAAAAATATCAAAATGATAGCTGTTTGCTTGTATTCTGTAATTATTTATTTATTTAGAAGCATGATGTAGTAAACAGAAAATGAATTTTGGAGTTAGTCAATTTTAAATAGTATCTCCAAAACAGGAAATTAAATTTTCAGCAAGGTACTGAACCTTTATAACTATAGAACTCAATTTCCTTAACAAACAAGGGATAAAAACAAAATGATAGCATTTCTTATATTTTTAAAATAAAAATAATTCATCAAAATGCATGTTATATACTAGATTTCCAGTAATGTTAACTGTTAATAGAGTAATAGTCTACCACCAACTATATTATGTGCTTATTTAAAGAGTTTTATTTCTTTTAAGTAGCTATCAATGACTAAAACAAAGCTAACAACACCACTAATTTCAATAAAACCTATTCATTGATCATAAATTGTAATGATATATTTGATTCTTTCACTTTCACATCTACATTTATTTTGATACTATTCAAAATAGCTAAGTAATGGATCCAATCTAGACATCCATCAAGAGATGAATAGATACAGAAGACAGGTTACATATACAGAACTGCATTTTAATCACCAATAAACAAGAAGGATCATGATGTGTGCAGGAAAACAAATGCAGCAGATCTCTAGGCTGTGGAATGAGCCAGACTCAGAAAGAAAAATACTACATGCATTCTCTCCTATGCTGACTCAAGATTTAGGGGCGGGACTATGGAGTAGAAAGAGCAGCAGGAGAGGGAAGGAAGAGGTACTAGTGGGAGAGGCATGAAAGGGTGGGCAGGAGGGAGGGGGAGAGAGAGAGAATATGGAAGGTAGGTAGGTAGGTGGGTGGGTAGGTGGGTGGATGGATGGATGGATGGATGGATGGATGGATGGATGGATGGCACGCAGGCAGGTAGGCAGGCAGGCAGGCAAGGCACTATTTAGGAAGAGGACCTGAAGGGAACAGAGAGTGAAAAGAGAGCATAGAGGTGGGTAAATACAGTAAAAGTACCTAACACAACAAATGTGCATCAATAAAACATATTTCCACAAAAACATGAGATAGGCTTGATTTTTATTTTGGGTTTTTTTTTTTAAAAAATCCAACAAATTAAACCATCTTTACTACTTTTAAATGATACTTCAAGTAATATTAACTATATTCAAATTGTTCCCAAGTAGAATTTGAAAACTTCTTATAAACCTCAATTCTATACCCATTAGACAGAAACACCCCTTTCCTCCCCTATTCCCAACCACGATAACACCTATCTCATGCTTGACTGGTAACTGAAATATCTTTTTCAGAATCCAGTAATCTAAGGACATTATTGCTGTATGACCAGAAAACCTTCTCTATCATCTCAAAAATCTTTTTTTGATTAATTGGAAACTCTACAAATAAATAAATAAACAAACAGACAAAAATATGTTTGTGAAATGTAAGGTAAGCATATACTTCAAATGAGTATTATATGCTTACACTGACTCTCACACAGACTCCACATTTCAAGATTTTTTTCATATTTAAATGACTTCCAATAATATAGATAATCACAAAAAAAGAAAGCCTTTCTGCCTACTAATCAATAACAAAGCAGAAATCAGCTTGTGAGATAATTACCCATCACTGCATCCAACCAAGTGGTTTTCACTGAAATAAGGATGTTTTGTAAAGTATCATTTAAATGTTCCATTAAACCAGTTGTATTATTTTTATAGTTGGCATCACACAGCATTATAATTGTTTATTATGATTATAATTTTGTTCTTTCATTGAATGGGGTATATATTCCTTTATCCACTACTGAATTGACTATTATTGTTGGAAGCAAAGACTCTATCTTGTGTTAGCATAGTAAGACCATATAAATCATAGACTACTAAGATCTAAATGCCTACTAGCTTGACGTCACTTGAAGTAATCCTGAAGGAAATATAGTAAGGTATTTGATACTATAAAACCAAAATTTATGTTTCATCAATTCCCAAATAAGTTACTCATCAATAATGTTAATATATGTGCCACTTTTAATTTGAAAATAAGTAAGGCAGTATTTTTAACAAAAACACTGTGGCCTCACTCATTTTTTAGTACACAAACTCCACAGTTCATTTTCTATGATTGATGTGAATGGACATTAAATATAAATATATCCAAATGCATCAACCAATAGTTTTAAAAACCATATTATGTCCAAATGATAACCAAGATATGACCCCTTTTGAGGTGACTTGTGACCAATGCAGATGCTTTCCAACCTCTATTAAAGGAAGGTCCTTTGAAAACACATGAAGAACTGTCGCCTGGCAGCAAATCAAGGGCACTGGCCAGGCAGACGCTCTCTCACTAAGCTCAATCTTCAACCAGCAAATAAAATCGGAAGTTCAACTTCTCTGTTTGAAACAAATCACTAATCTGTTAGAGGACTCTAAAATTAGCTGTCTTTGGAATAAGTCACATTCAAGACATTAAAGAATAACTTGATAATTAACAATGGAACAAATGAATTTGCAAGGCAATTATCTAAGTACTGTTATTTACCTCTGTCAAAAAGATCCAAAGCTAACATACATTCAAGATGATAGCTTGAAAGAACCACAGCAAAAGAACCACAGTGCAGTTTAATGGAGACAGGCAGAAAGGATCCTTAATGTAAAATACTCCAAAAGCAACTTATTTTAAGAAATAACCTAAAGCTGAGTGACAGTGCATCACTATAACCCCAGCACTTGGGAGATGGAGAGAGGAGGGTCACAAAGTCAAGGTGAGCCTTCCAACCTGTGGAGTTTGAGCCCAGCCTGGACTACGTAAGACCCTTATCAAGAATTTTTTTCTTAAAGGAAGGGTGTGGGCACTGTGGAGAGAGAGGGGGAAAGGGGACTAAACATAAGAAGTAAGGGAATGGTGGGAGTCGGGAAAAGGTGAGAAAGGGTAGCTGGACAACAAATGCAATCACAATACACTGTATACAATTCTACAATTCTCAAGGGAATGAGGGAGGGAGGGAGGGAGAGAGGGAAGGAGGGAGGGAGGGAGAGGGAGGGAGGGAGAGAGGGGGGAGAGAGAGAGAGAGAGAGAGAGAGAGAGAGAGAGAGAGAGAGAGAGAGAGAGACTTCTTAAGTTAGCTGGTTTATCAGAACAAATTCAGGGGATAGCTAGCTGCAAGCTGGCACCACAGTTAACTGATTATATATTCTGAAAGTGCAGTGATTTAACCTCCTAAAATGGGGATAGGGCTTGAAGATCACGGACCTCAAAAATATTCATAGTAACCGTAAGTCTGGGAATCTGAATGAAAACTTAAGGAAAGTTAGCTGATCACCACACTAGTGTGAAGTTCACATAGAATAACTACTTCTTCATTGAGCTACAAAGATTTGGTTTTAATTTATCATTCTAATTGATAACAAATGAAATCTTTTTAAAGTATGTGTTCTATTGAAAATGCACTACTGGAGAAACCTTTAACTGGGGTATAAACAGTTTCAGTACCATTAAGCATGTCACAAGAACTCCCAACTCCCCATGGAACTTCATTCCATGAAGTAATGTGGGTTAACTTGAAATTGCAGACATATTTAGACGACAGAAATGGGGAAACAAGTACAAATAGTAGCTTTTTCTAAAAGTCAGCTGTCGGCACACTACTTACTCTATGAAAATAATGACACTATATTCAGCGTTCATAGACAAACTTGAAGGAAACTGTAATTTACCATAAAAATGAATTTCAGACCAGAAAATCCCAATTTGTATACAGAAGGGAAAATAACTATTAAAACTAATTTATTTTTGTGGATTCAGACAGTATATGCCAGACACTATGAAAGGAGCTCGTGAATAAATAGGTGTAAAGTTTGTTGTGAATTTTAAAGAGTAGAAGGAGGGGAAGCAAACAAATAAGTACAAACATTGCTCATCTTACACTCAGGGCTATGGAATATACCTATATGCTACAATCACACCGCGGATCCCTTGAAGCTTTCTTCTCTGCCTAACCCTATGACAGGGAAAAAAATGAGGGTGCAAAAGATATCAGCAAGATAGCGGGAATCCAGAGGAGCTCAATCACAGCATTACCTACTTTAAGGTATCTCTGTCTCACAATGGGCAGAATTTATAGGTACTTCAGCAACTACCTATAAGTTATTCCCTCAAGATCGCTAGGGTGGATTTTCAAAATCAGTATACTGGCACATATCCTCGAGTGTTAAGGCTTTCCAACAGGTCACCATAATCCTATGTAAGAGGCTGCTGGGATACAGAACACAAAGCAGAAATATGCTTCATCTGATATCCCTGAGTTAAGCAACAAGACGATGCATGGTCTCCATAAACAGCAAACATGCCATTTCTGGTAATAGCTACATTTATAGGCTAAAGCAAGCCAATGGGATCTTTGGTAAGTGTCTAGGAGGTTGAAAAATGAGCAAGTTTAAACTTGGGCATTTCCCAGGCTGAGTCTTCTCTGTTGGCTACTACTGTGCTTTGAAAAGTAACTCACCAAAATATACCTTGTTTCTCAGTGGTTTATCTGATTTTCTTCAATACTGAAGAAAAAAAGTCAGGCCTACTCTGGTTATTCTGTTACTTATATCAACAGCATTCAGACTGTACCTAGACTTGAATTATTGCAAATCATAAGGCAGCATTTTTACTTAAGTGTCAAAGCGGAATGACTCCACATTTTGTTTACATGAGTAAACCATCATCTTCCAGGCACACCTTGGGCACAACTGGTCATCTATTTTTGCCAGTAATGACATGTTTGAACATATACAAGATTATCAGAGACACAAGATCTA